GGATTTCAGCATTCACTTTTGCTAACATTAGCTAGTACTATGAACATTTAACATTTTCCTATAGAAGTGTTACATTGCTAGCAAAATGGAAGAGTAGCTTTTTAAAAAGTTTCCATCCTGCTTCTCAAGCTACCTGAATGCAGGAGACTGGCAATTTGTGGCCATTAGCAACAATTGTTCATTTGGGTTGCTGTGAGTTTTCCAGGCTGTACAGCCATGTTCCAGAAGCATTCTCTCTTGATGTTTTGCTCACATCTATGGCAGGCATCCTCAGAGGTTGTGAGGTATACCTCACACTGAGGATGCCTGCCATAGATATGGGTAAACTGTCAGGAGAGAATGCTGCTGGAACATGGCCACGGAAAACTCACAGCAACCCAGTGATTCCAGCCATGAAAGCCTTCAACAACAAATTGTTCATTTCCTGGTGGCCATGGGCCACTGCTATGAGTAAAACTGGCTTCGACTAACACGAAATGTGGGATCCACTTAGAACACATATTTCTTTTTAAAAAGAGTTGTGGTACTGCACCAACATCCCTTGGGTTGGAGCAGAAACCCCTGGAACTTTCCAGTAAAATCGACACAATTCTCCTAGTCTGATGCTGGATTTACATTGCTCTCTATCTCAGAATCTGAGACCGGATTATCTGGCTGGGTAAAGCCATATAATCCAGTTCTAAGCAGTTAATCTGGGATCAGACCCCAGGTTGTAAGGCAATTTAGATCTAGGGCCCTTCCACACAGCCATATAACCCAAAATACCAAGGCAGAAAAACCCACACTATCTGCTTTGAACTGGAATATCTGAGTCCACACTGCCATATATCAGATAATGTGGGATTCATCTGTGTGGAAGGGGCCCTAGTCTGAGATTTCTAAATTTAAGTGCAAGTCATACAAAAGTGGTTTCTTCCTTAAGCTATTTGAATGCTACAAATCCAATGCAAAATATGTTGTTTATTTTTTGCTATTTCCATGCCAAGTTTATGGAAAATTCCTCATTAGATCATGGCTGAGTATCAGGTAAACATTTGGAAATTACTCCAACTTGTCTAACAAAATGATTTATCTGAAAGCCTCTACCTTATGGCAAAGATGGAGACTGTCAAATTGTTTCCCTCCCTTGGCTACCTTCTTTTCTGCAAAGGACCACTGTGGAAGAGAGGCCTATTTCCTCATTTATTGGTTATTAAAAAGTACTTTGAACAGACCTCACAACCTCTGAGGATGCCTGCCATAGATGTGGGCGAAATGTCAGGACAGAATGCTTCTGGAACATGGCCATACAGCCTGGAAAGCTCACAGCAACCTAGTTTGAACAACTTCACATGATTACTGGGAGTACCAGGCCAAAACGAAATAATACTATCCATACCTCAGCATCTTTTACTGTATCAGTAGAAAAATTTTAAAGATCTTCCAGCCACAGTATACATGCCTCTTGTGTTGGACTTTATGACAACTAAGCTTCAATGAAAACTCAACTTCAAATAAAGTTAAAGAAGTCAAATATAAAACAAGGTGGCATGCACATGACGAGTAGAAGACGATACATACCAGATACGACAAAATTAAGATGACATCAACCTCTCAAATACTAATTCCCAACAGAAAAATACAACGGAAGTTCAGGAGTGCAGAGAAAACAGAAATGCTTCTTATAAAGTTTTTTTTTCTCATGTCAGGAGCGACTTGAGAAACTGCAAGTCGCTTCTGGTGTGAGATAATTGGCCGTCTGCAAGGACGTTGCCCAGGGGACGCCCAGATGTTTTGTTATCCTGTGCGAGGCTTCTCTCGTGTCCCTGCATGAAAAGCTGGAGCTGACAGACGGGAGCTCACCCCGCTCCCTGGATTCAAACCATTGACCTTTTGGTCAGCAGTCCTGCTGGCACAAGGGTTTAACCCATTGCACCACCGGGGCTCCACACCATTGATGAGCCTTCAATTATGTGGCTGGAAACCCTGCATGAAAAGCTGGAGCTGATAGATGGGAGCTCACCCCGCTCCCGGATTCAAACTGCAGACCTTTCTGTCAGCAGCTCTGCCAACACAAGTTTAACCCACTGTGCCACCAGGGGCTCCATATCTGACAAAGTAAAACCTCTCTAAACAAAAAAAAAGTCCTCACCAAAACTTGGTTCAAGTTTGTAATGCTACACAAACTCATTTATGAGTAGGTCTCACTAAATTCAAATGAATCCTTATCAGAGCGGTGTGGGACGATTACAAGACATAATCCTACCAAAATTTATCACGTGGCAAACTTAGTGCAAGAAAAGTGGGGTCTGTGTTATGTTTTGTTTTGAATGAGTGACTACCTGTGTTGAGGTGTTACTCATCTGTTACTCATCTGGTTTTTCACAAGCACCAATCAGCACAAAACTCTACCCAACATAATACTGTCCCTCGCTACCTAGGAGTCACGCTTCATGGTTTACTGTATGGAAATTGCCAATCTTATCTGGTCCTGCAAGGGCTTCAACCAGGGTTCTTCAGCATGAGAAAGCCAGCTCTCTTGGGGTATCACAGGCCCTATATCCCAAGATCTGATCCCAGGTTTTCTGCTTTAAACTGAATTATATGAGTCCACACTGCCAAATAATATTGGATAAACAAAACCTGGGATCAGATCCTGGGATATAGGGCCTGTCTGGAAAGAAAGTCCATCACTCAAATAAGGATATAACAGGCCACCATTTACAATTACTGGGGGGGGGGGGGGGGTATGGAGAAAAACACATCTGGCTTTCTGCACTACCTCTCAACTGCACTCACCACTAAGGGAGCTCTAGAAGTGTAAATAATGGACAAGAGTACTCTTTATTAAGAAATCCCTGCCATTAGTGGCTCCAAACTCCAGTCCTAGACCTTTTCTCTTCCACATATGTGGCTGACACTCATTCATGCTTCCTCACGTATTGAGAATCCAAGCAACTGGGGTAAAATACAATAGGCTCTCACTTAGCTGACACCGATAGGGATTACTAGGTGCTGAGTGTCATTTCTAGTTGCTTGCAAGTTACTATTCAAAACTTATATACCATACCATCTCTCAACTGACTTGACAGTTATATTGAAATGATCATTAAAACCAAATTAACGCAAACTTAATACAACAGTGGGTTGCTATGAGTTTTCTGGGCTGTATGGCCATGTTCCGGAAGCATTATCTCCTGACATTTCACCCACATCTATGGCGGGTTGTGACATCCATTGGAAACTAGGCAAGGGGGGGTTATATATCTGTGGAATAATGTCCTGGGTGGGAGAAAGAACTCTTGTCTGCTTGAGGCAACTGTCAATGTTGCAATTGGCCACCTTATTTATTTTTTATTAAATAAAATAAAATAAAATAAATAACTAGGAAACTCACTTGCCTATTATCCAAGAGACCCCTCAACCTCTGAGAATGCCTGCCATAGATATGGGCGGAACATCTGGAAACAATTAGGGCCAGGTTATCGCCTCCCAACAAAGGATTTCCCCAGACGGTAAGAAGCCAGACCTTGAAACTGCTGGGCCATTAAATGATAATCAAGGTGGCCAATAGCAACAGTTACACTTGCCTCAAATTGACAAGAGTTCTTTCTCCCACCCTGGACATTATTCCATTGATATATAAACCCCATTTCCTTAGTTTCCAACACACCTCACAACCTCTTGCCATAGATGCAGGTGAAATGTCAGGAGAGAATGCTTCTGAAACATGGCCAGACAGTCCGGGAAACTCACAGCAACCCAGTGATTCCAGCCATGAAAGCCTTCGACAACACATTAATTCAACAATGCTAATCCTTTACTGTATTATAAAAACATTCCTTTTGAATCCAGGATTTTTAAAAATGTCAATTGCTTGAGAGTTCCGGCTAACCGAGAGTGAGCTGTAGATCTAAAGAGATCTTCCTCCTTTAACTAGCTTGGGTGTGGATCTACTCTCTGTAGGATGCATACAGTTTGACAGTACCTTAACTGCCTTGGCTCCATGCTATGGAATGATGGGAGTTGCAGTTTGGTGAGGCACCAACACTTGGCAGAGAAAGTGAAAGACTTTGTGACAGTCCCAAGGATTCTGTGGAGTGGAGTTCAAGGGCATCCTCCCCTCCAACAGCCATAGACAGCAGGTGCACAAAGAAAGGTGCGCCTAAATAGGTATGGGCAAACTTGGGCCTTCCTGCTGTTTTGGACTTCAACTCCCACCATTCCTCACAGCCTCGGGCCCTTTCCTTTCCCCTCTCAGCCACTTAAGAACAGGCATTAGGAATGGACATAAGGGGGGAAAGTAAAGGGCCTGAGGCTGTGAGGTATGGTGGGAGCTGAAGTCCGAAACACCTGAGCTTAAGCGGCTGAGCAGGGAAAGTAAAGGACCTGTGGGTGTGAGGAATGGTGGGAGTTGAAGTCCAGAACACCTGAGCTTAAGCAGCTGAGAGGGGAAAGTAAAGGGCCTGAGGCTGTGAGGAATGGTGGGAGTTGACGTACAAAACACTTGGGCTTAAGCGGCTGAGCAGGGAAAGTAAAGGGCCTGAGGGTGTGAGGAATGATGGGAGTTGAAGTCCAAAACACCTGGGCTTAAGCGGCTGAGCAGGGAAAGTAAAGGGCCCGAGGGTGTGTGGAATGATGGGAGTTGAAGTCCAAAACACCTGGGCTTAAGCGGCTGAGCAGGGAAAGTAAAGGGCCTGAGGGTGTGAGGAATGGTGGGAGTTGAAGTCCAAGCCCCTGGAAGAGTTGAAGGTTGCCATGCCTGCTCTGGATCCCTTTCAAAGCTCCCTCCTGGGGAAGACGTACAACCAGGGCGCCTTCCACGTGGGGAAAAGAGGCACAGAAGGAAGCCAAGGTGGCTGATGGAAACAAGAGAGCCTTGAGACTTTCCCCTTTCTCTCTCCTAGCAATAGAGGAGGGAAGCAGCAAAGCCTGGGAGGGAAAAGCCTGGGCTTGCAAAGGGAGGCAAGAGCAGCAGCAGCGCGAGGAGCGACTGGAAGAGGACAGGGACAGGGACTCACCCTTTGCATGGCTTTCAGGATCAACGCCAGTTCGTAGCGGGGCATTTTGGGCGCCCAGGAGGAAGAGGAGGAGCGGCCGGGCAGCTGCGGGAAGAGGAAGAGGCGGCGGGAGGGAGGACGCAGCGCTTAAAAGGCCACGCGCGGAGCCCGGGGAAAGAGGGCCGCCTCTTGGCTGGCGTCAGATGCTGCTGCTGCTGCTGCTGCTTCAGCTTCCCCTCCTCCCTCCCTTCCTCCCTTCCTCTAAGCCTCTCCTCTCTCTTTAGTTCTCCCTCTCTGCCTTCAAAAAAAGGCAAAAGAGGGAGGGCTAGTCTGCAATAAAAATAATAATAGCAAGCCCCCCTCTTTTTCCGCCTCTCCTCCTTCCCCTTCGTGGCTACGGTCCACCACTGCAGGAAGTGGAAATTTCCAGTCCTCCTCCTCCTCCTGGGCTCCTTCCTGGTCGTCCCCGCCCAACTCTCCACGTGGGAAAGCACCGGCGCCCCACACACGGAATATAGTCCTCCCAATGCTGCTAACACACACACACACACATGCGCAACCGCATACACACAAGCGAATCCTGTGCTGTTCACTTTGAGGGGTTTCAGTGCATAGAATACTTTTCCCATCATAGAATATAAAAGGTAAAGGTAGTCCCCTGACATTAAGTCCAGTCATGTCTGACTCGGGTGTGGTGCTCATCTCCATTTCTAAGCTGAAGAGCCAGCGTTGTCCGTAGACACTTCCAAGGTCATGTGGCCAGCATGACTGCATGGAGCGCCATTATCTTCCCGCCGGAGCGGTACCTATTGATCTACTCACATTTGCATGTTTTTGAACTGCTAGGTTGGCAGAAGCTAGGGCTGACAGCAAAAGCTCACGCCGCTCCCCGGAATCGAACCTGCGACCTTTCGATCAGCAAGCTCAGTAGTAACGTAGTCAAAGGTGACCCCCCCACCCCACCATAAAAGATAGTTTATAATCAGAGAATTCATAGTTTTGCCAAGGTCTCTAAGCTGGAATGATATACTGTATATACTCAAATATAAGCCTAGTTTTTCAGCCCTTTTTTTAGGCTGAAAAGGTCCCCCTCGGCTTATACCTGAGTCAAGTTATTTATTTTACTTTGTTGTTGTTGTTGTTGTTGTTATTATTATTATTACATTTATTAATTTACTTATTACATTTGTTAATTTACTCTTTATTATTACATTTATTATTTTACTCTATTGTTATTTTTACTACATTTATTATTTTGCTCTATTATTGTTGGAAGGATACTTAAGCACACTGACATTGAAGAAGGTTAGAATAATGGTTAAATCAGAGTTGGGCAGTTTTATCTTAAATTACAGTTTTATGTAAATATTCAAAAAATATTTAACCTACTGATGCTGCAATGAATGTAATTTTATTAGTATCTATCTTTATTTTGAAATTTACCAGTAGCTGCTGCATTTCCCACCCTCAACTTATACTCAAGTCAATATGTTTTCCCAGTTTTTTGTAAAATTAGGTGCCTTGGCTTATATTCGGGTCAGTCAGCAGGCACCATATTGGGTCGGTCAGCAGTATATACGATAATCAGAGTTAAGTCTTGGCCAATTTACAAAAGGACTAACTGCTATCTTGCTTTTTGCTGAATGGACCCTCAAAATCCACCTTTTTCCCATCCAAAAGACCCTTGTGGATACCAAAGACCTTTTTGCAGTCTCGCGGTTCCACTCAACATTGGTGTATGTGTTCCCCCTCCCGGTGTGAGTCACCCCGAGTGGTACCTAGATGGTGCCTGCTGACCACTGGGACTCCTTTTGTGTCATACAAAAGCCCAGGCCTTTCTCAAGCCTTTCTGATCCATTTTTATGAATTGGATTCTTTTTTATGAATGAACCTCTGTTTTTATAAATGGACTTTGCCTGATTGGTGCCTCGATGAACTCCAGGTGACAGGTACCGCTCTTTCTCCTGCCCTGCATGTTCCCCTGCCCCCTATGAACCCCTGTATATGTATCTGTCAGAGATTGACGATGCCCAGCAGAAGGAATGCTAGATCTAACAGACACTGATTTGCAAATAAGGACTCTGCAAGCTTTGAGTTACAAAAGAAAACTAAGTTTTACTAAGCACGCACAGCAAACACATCTTTCTTCAGCGAGTGACATACAGGAAGAGAACTAGTCAAAACCTTAAGCCAAAACACTTCTTCACATCTGCTTATCTTCTCTTGCTTGAGGCTGGCAACTCCCTTTAGTTTCTCACCAGAACAAAGCTTATCTTACTTTCTCAAGTTCACATAATCACAGCCTCAACTCTAAACATTTCTGCACTCCAGGACCCAGGTGCCACAAGCCACACTGGGCCTTCATTTTGTTGGATGGACTTTCAAGCATTTCAGAATATGGACAATAGGTAAATGGCCCCTCTCCTCAAGCCTCGGAAGGTCAAGGACCAGGCCACTTGAGGACTGAAGACCTTTGGACTTGCTAAATTATTCTTCACAAAGGAAATTTCCCCTCTGCAAGGAGAAGGGGATGTCACAGCTTCCCAAACAATGACATTTCCCCTTCCCAGTAAACTGGATCAGCAGATCCCATCAAGACATCAATATTGCTGTATCTCTGGACAATGGGCTGGCTCTGAGTTGCCAAACAAAAATGTTGTTTCAAACCCCATGTCAATAGCCAGGTCGGGCTCGAGGGCTCTCAGCAATCACCCAATCTCCTTATCAATAGATCCGGGAAGGGCCAGTCATAATCCGACCACTTAAGCAACTATTTCCTTTGTTTTTGCTGTGGCCGTGCCTCCTCTCACACCATTGGCTGAGTGGCTGAAGCGGGACCCGGCTTCTCCTCCCAGTCCACTGACGTCAGGGATTCCCCTGACCAATCACAGCAGAGCCGGCTTAGGGAGCGGGTGCAGGAAATTGGGAGCGGGTGCAGGAACATTGAAAATGTATAAAAGATGTATTCTCCTTTATTGGGGTATGCCGTCTTTTTCAGCAGATTACTGTAGCCGTCATCCTTTTCCAGCTGGAACAGAAATAAATACCTTGGTGGCTTCCGCTTCAACTTGGTGAGATTTATTCTGGAATATTGGCTTCTTTTCTCACCAGGCTAAACCCACAGTGGCTTGGATCTCACTATCCACTGCTATTATAAATTGCTCGATAACAGCTGGAGGGGAGGGCCGAAGTTTGCCCATGCCTGGGATGTTTGGAGAAATTATGATCTTTGGAAAGGCATGACCTTGTTAGAAATCATAACCTTTTGGAAAAACGATGCTATAACCCAATGGTTCTCAACCTTCCTAATGATGCAACCCCTTAATACAGTTCCTCATGTTGTGGTGAACCCCAACAATAAAACTATTTTCATTCCTACTTCAAAACAGTAATTTTGCTACTGCTATGAATCGTAATGTAAATATCTGATATGCAGGATGTATTTTTATTCACTGGACCAAATTTGACACAAATACCCCATATGTCCAAATTTGAATAAGGATGGGGGTGGGGGTTGGAGGGGATAATTTTGTTATTTGGGCGTTGTCGTTCCTGGGATTTATAGTTCACCTCCAATCAAAGACAATTCTGAAAGTCACCAACGATAGAATTGGGCCAAACTTCCCACACTGAAACCCCATGACCAACAGAAAATACTGGAGGAATTTAATTATTTAGGGGAGAGCACCTCTGCCCGCTTGGAGTCTCAGAAACAGCCCTTGGCTGAGAGGCCAGCCAATCACAGCAGGAAGAGGCCTTCTGGTGGGAGGATTCACCTTCTGTTTCCAAAAACGAGAACGATAGGCGGAGAGATCTTCAGACTTCTCTGCCAAAGGGATTCCTGACCCCCAGATTGAGAAACACTGCCATAACCTTTTGGGAAATGGAAATCTCCATAACCTTTTAATAAATGGCATTCCTAACCATTTTGGGAAAATCAGGAATCTCCCTGAGAAGAAAAAGAATTAAAAAGTCACCTGAGTCAACCTTCTCCTTGGTGGTAAATATCCACTAGTTTTAATGCAAGGCAATTAGGTTTCTCAACCATTAAACTGAGATACTTCTCTCACTGCTAACTGTGAGAGAAATAACATTGAACACTGTGAAAGCCACCCACTGCATGGTTATCAGGCTCCTCCAGTAGACTCAAATCAAGGAAAAGCTTCATAAGAACCACCACTCCTCTTAATGTTCTCCCAGCAAGAGCAAAAGGATCCCTCTGGGCAGCTAAACCAGGAAATCCCTACTGGGTGGCCCCCCATGAGGGTCTGCCTCCAGGGGCAAACCAAGAATGAGCAACTTGGAAGTCCCTGAACAGACTCCGAAGTGGAGTGTGCACATCAAAAGACAACCTGGCAAAATGGCACCACCTAAAAGAATCCTCCATCTTGTGTGACTGTGAAGCAAAACAGACAACTCCACACCTGTATGCTTGTCCACAATGCCCTGCCTCATGTACAGAGGAAAAATTGTTTAAAGCTTCAGACAAGGAGGTTGCTGTTGCCCATTTTGGTCAAAAATGTTTAGCCTTCTTTACCAAAGAATGCCAGTGCTTCACCAAATTGCAATTTCCAGGATTCCATAGCATTGAGCCGTGGTAGTTAAAGTGGGGTCAACTGTATTCATTGAACCTTGCAGACCACACTCATTTTTACCAAGGGCCTCATCTGCCTTATGGTTGCCTTTAAAGGACCAGTTGTAATTAGGCCTGCAGGTGTTGCATTTGGCATGTGTGGTGTAGACACACCCCATGACAATCCATATGGGAAGTTTAAGGCAGGGCCACCTAATTTACTGGTTCTTTGTATCATTTACCCCAGTGGTTCTCAACCTGTGGGTCCCCAGGTGTTTTGGCCTACAACTCCCAGAAATCCCAGCCAGTTTACCAGCTGGGGTTGAAGGTCAAAACATTTGGGGACCCACAGGTTGAGAACAACTGATTTACGCAAACAAAATTTACAAGGTGGATGAAAACAACAGAAAAGCGTTGACACCCCAACTTTCTTAAACATTCCTTATGCTGTATATATTTCATCTAAACTATTGGCTATTCCAAAAAATGAGACTTTTGCTCTAGATAGAGTAGGCCATTGATAATG